CGATGCAGGCAGGGGGCAGCAGCTGAGACCCAGCGAGCTCATGACACAAGTGCCGCCAGCACCGCCAGGGACCCGGAGCGCGCCCCCCGCCAGGCCAGAGCGCACCCAGCGCCCCTTCGAAGGCAACCCCCCTTAGAAAGGGCACTGGACCCACCGCAGCTGCAGACGACGGATTGAAATACCCCAGAGCCCCTCAGGCTGCAGAGAAACACGTTTCAATGAACTACAGGAGATGAAAGTGGTGGAGGGAGGACGGGGGAGGAATAAAAAAAAGAATTAAAAATCACAGTTTAACTCTTCCTCTTACTAGGAAGAGGGGGTGCACAACGGGGGCACAGCCCAGGGCACAGCTCCACGGTCTGCAGAGCTGCTCCTCGAGGGCGACACGAGCCGAGGGCGTTGGGCTGCCCCATGCCAGCCAGCACACAGGGTGGTCCCAGCCACCGGCCACCCCTGAACCAGCCCCTGCCCCCTCCCCACCCCAGGAGAATGTCAGCGTGCTCCGTACGGGAACCCGCACTGCCCTGGCAGCTCACAGGCAAGACCTGTGCCTGGGAGAGGGAGCCACAGAGGCCGCTGGCCGAGCTGGGGCACCGGGGGCGCAGGCTGCTCCGCAGGCCCGTTTCTGCCAGGTCTGGCCCATTTCTGCCAGGTCTGGCCCATCTGAGCAGCTCTGCTCCTGCACACAGAGGCAGGGCTGGGCTACCTCCCAGCTCTGCGCTGGCCCGAGAAGGAAGCCCGCAGGCAAGGAGCACTGGAAGGAGAGTGAAGAGCCGCTGCCACCTCTCCCCGGAGGCGCCAGCCTTTGAGGGAGCTGCCCACGCAGGGGAGGGGAGAGCGAACCCCCCCCAGCCTCCCCGAGCTGAGCCCAAATACCCCTGGCCTCACGTTAAGTGAGTGAGGCTCCCCCACCTGGTTTGGGGGGTTCGGGGGCTTTTTAGGACTTATTGAAGGCTGCCAGGACAGCCCAGATCATCTCTGAGCCCATGCCTTTGGCTGCTTCCACCTCAGGGTCCATATCGAGGAGGTCCTTGGTCCTGTTCATTGCCACATTGTACTTGTCATCTGCCAGGCTGGCGAAAACGTTCTCCAGCACGTCTGAGGAGTGGGCCAGCACCAGAAGAGCCAGAGTCCTGCGGTCCATGCGGTGGGGGTCGTTCACCCACCGCTCCAGCATGCTCTCCTGGAGCTTCTTCACCAAGCGCTGCTTCTCGGTGGCGTTGCTGACGGGGTGGGTGGTCATGTCAAAGAGCAGGAAGTTCTGCTTCTCCGTGGTGAGGATGCCCTTCTCCACCAGCGCCTTGGCAATGCGCTCACGCACGTTCCTCAGCTGGTACTGCAGCTTGAAGGGGTTCCAGGTCTCCCCTGCAGGAGAGGAGGCCCTGTTCAATGCCGGGGCAGTGATGGCTTTGCCACCCAACCCCAGTGCCCAGGCTGCTTCCAGCCCAGGACCCAGCTTGCACGGACACCAGTCCCCACCGCAGGAACCCTCTTCATCCCCTGGGCCTGACTCTGACCCGCTTCTCCCATCAGTCCAAGCTGGCGAAGCTCCCAGTGGCCACAGGGCACAGCAGCCTGGGGCAGATCCCTTTGGAAAGCCCCTTCTACCCAGGACCTTGGACCCCAGACTCGGTGGAGAGTCATCACCAAAAGAAGAGGCGATGGGGAGCAAGGTCCAAGTCTTCCACTGAGCTCCCAACAAAAAAGACCCGGAAAACTGTTCCCTGCCCCCACATTCAGCCTTCCCCTGTTCTGCTGCCAGTATTCCACCCATCCCCAGTGAAGCAAGGGGATGGCCAAGCCGTGGAGAGGGGACAGGCGGCAGGGATGGGCCCCGAGGGAGCTGGCATCTCTAAATGGTCCTACCAGTGAGCAGCTCTATCCAGGTCTGCACCGTTTCCGCAGGCTCCGTGGCCTTGATGTGTCGGAGAGTCTCATCCAGCAAGATGTCACCGGTCGGTGTGTCTGACTTCAGGAGCACCTGGACGGACAAAGAGGGGACATGGTGTGAGGCTGGATGCTCCCTTCCTGGAGGAATGGTGCCAGCCCTGGCACGCAGAGCTGGCTGCCAGCGGGATCAGCTGGGGGGGATGGAGCCCCAAAGCCTGCTGGGCCCCCAGCCCAGCTCCTGTGGCACCTTCACCTTCCTCTCCAGAAGCCTCTTCTTCCTCATGGAAAGCGGCTCCAGGCGGACCCGGCCACGCAGAGCCAGCTCGATGAGGATGCCGCCCCGCAGGCCTGAGGAGATGCAGTCATTCCAGAAGGAGGTGTAGCCCTGGGAGAGAGAGGATGGATGGCAAGGGGAGAAGAGGGATGGGAAGGGGAGCTCTGCCGAGCCCCCCACCCCTCCTGGCCCGCTCGGCCCCTGCCCAGGCAACTCTCCGAATGCCCGTTAACTCCCAGGCCAAGGGAGAAAGGGGCCTTCCCCACTACGTGAAAAGCACCTGGCAGCCCCAACAAACCCCCTCGCTGCCCAAAACCCCCGTGCAAACACTGAGCAACTCAGGCCGTGCCCTTCCCACTGCACCCACGACCACCCGGCACACCCCAGCGCTGGCCAGGCGGCTGCGCCCAACCCTGGATCATAAAAGAACCAAGCAAGAATGAGAAAAGCGGGGCCCTTTCCCCTGGCAAGCCCCTGGCCACAGAGGGACGGGGCTGCTGCGGGGCAGCAGCCAGCGGCACGAGCTCTGCCCTGCCTCGGCGCCTGCTGCAGACGTGCCCGGGGGAAACAGGAGGCAAAATCTGCTCTTTTCCTCAGAGGAAGCCCCCATGGGCCCCAGGCATGCCCTGAGAGTGACGAGCTGTACGAAGAAATCTCTCATCAGGCCTGTGAAGAAGAGTTTCCCCACTATCGGCAGCATCCCATGGGGCGCGGGCTGCAGCAAGCCCCAGCTCGCACCGCAGGGCACAAGAGCTCCCCCAGCCCCTCACTTCATCGCCCCCCCTTGCTCAAATCTGCCCGCAGGCTTCTGCAAGGGAAGAGAAGATTTCCAGCCAGGGATGAAGGACAGGAGAACAGATCCCACCTCTCCCCGCAGAGTGGGCACCTTGGGGCTAGGGTGCAGCCGCTCGGGTCCCAGCAGCGGGACTGCTCCTGACCGGATCTGCTCAGACGCAGCACGTTCCGCTCCGGGCCCCAAGCTTGCCACGGGACAGGGTCCTCACCCCAAAAAGTGCAAGCTCCAAAATCATTAAGACATTTGGCAAAGCAACAAGAAGGTGCAGAGGTCTGGAAAATACGACCCACAAGGAACCAGCAATTGGATCAGGGTTTTCGGTCCAGGGAAGAGACGACAGAGGGAGAACAGGATAAGTGGGTGTCTGACGTAAAAAGCAGCAGCAAAAAGGAAGGGAATGGCCGGTTCCCACTTCCACTGTGCACAGGACAGTCCTGGGGTACAGTTGTAGCCAGAGAGATCAGAGCTGGGCACCAGCAAGAAATACCCATCCGGACAAGAAAGCCCAGGAACAGTTTGCCCCTGGAGGCGGGGGCTAGGAAAAGAAGCCTCTGTCCCTTGAGGTTTAAGAACTTTCAGCTGATGCTTCTCAGGAGAGAACTGCTCCTGGTTGGAAGCAACGGGGCAGCCTCGGCGACCTCTCCATTCCCTTCCTCCACTTGTCTTTTATGCCCCGATTAGAACAAAGCCCGGTTGTTCCAGCCCCACACTGCGGCACAGGCAGCAGCCCGGGGATTTCAGGGCTGCAGGGAGAGGCTGGTCCAGGCAGGCAGGGGGGCTGGCAGCGGGGCTGGCACTGGCCCAAGGGACGCAAAGTCACAACACGCTTATTTGCAGGGGACGCTGATAGCCCAGAAGCGCTACGGCCTGCTCGTAACCCCCTTTTCATTTTCTCTGGAGGGAATGGGGGGGGAAGGACAGAAAGGGCAGCTCTAAAAGCTCCCAGGAGACTGCAAAGCAGCCCCAGAACCCCCTTTCCTTAGGAAAAAGGCTGAGAACACGCAGCCCTCTGCCACAGACGTTTTTATGAGGGTAAATCCCTGTTCCCCCGCATGCTTGTTCATACAGTGCATCTGGCACCAGGCTGCTCAGCTCACGTAGCACAGAGAACTGTAAAAGAAATGAAAAGTCTTTATTTGCTCTCTTCACTTCCGTGTGAGGCAAGGCAAAGCCTTGCTGACGCCCGCGTTTCTGCACACGCCCTGTAGGAAGCAGCTTTCCAGAAAAGGGTGCGGAGGTGAGCGAAAGTTTAAATCCACTGGGCTGAAAGGCACGTTACCCCTAGGAAATTTTAAGGGGTCTGAAATCAAACAAGTCAAAGCTCCCGGGTTCTTTTAGCTTCTGGAATCAGACTGGTTACAGGTGCCAGGCTGGTGTGCAGCCAGTTTCTGCTAGATGGACAGACTTGGACTTAAAATAATGAGATTACACTGTCAGCTCAGTGGATTTCCCTAAAATTGTCCTTTTTTCTTTTTTTTTCCCCAGTCATCAAACCACGAGTGAACAACAGAGCTGGGAAAACCAAATTCCTGGGAGCCCAGCTCACAGCCAGGCTCCTGCTGCCTCTGCTCTTCCTTCTGAGGCGGAGGAATGTGGAAGGACAGGATGGAGGTGGTGG